GAAAACCTAAAACATTGTCGTGGCTGACGTTAATTTAATGTTATTTATTTCCTGAAAACAATGCTGATTGGTCGCGAACCTCTTTCTGATTACATTTGATTTTAAAAAGAAGAAGAAGAAGAAGTTTTCTTCAACAACTCACTCTTGATGAAAACACAAAGTCATAAAAAAATGCACGAAAAAGCACAACTACAGATACAAGGCCTGGTATCTATTCGCTCTTTGCATGCTGCCGCTATAGGCATGCAGAGCCTCGATCTGGCAGCTTTACTCAATGAGTCCCATTTATGTTGCTTAGTCATTTGATGTATGCTGCAGCGTTCTTCTATCATGTATACCATACGATTGGACGCGAATTCTGACGCGATTGTACCAGCTGCCAGTTCGAGGCTCTGCATGCCCATGGCGGTAGCATGCAAAGTGCGAATAGCATGTACTGTACTTTGCAAGCACAGAGGACGGAAATGAAAGAAAACAGTAAAGGCGCCCTCTTTAATATGGTGTACTTTTTACGACACGCATTTTCTTTCTCTCTCTCGCCTCCCTCCAGGCGACGCAGCTACACGATGCGACGGCACAACAGCTCCCTTGCGTCGTGTCGTCGCGTTGCGCCGTCGCCCTCTTGTCATTACGTTTGTGCACACACGACGCGTCGCGTCGTACGTCGTGGCGTGCTTCGTGTCGCCTATTACGTCACCTGAAGCACGACACGACGCACGACGTGTCGTGTGCTGTCGCCCTTTGCTGCATGGCATGGTGTTCATAGAGGACGCCTTTACGGTTTTCTTTCATTTCCGTTCCCCGTGCTTGCAAAGCACATGCCATTCGCTGTTTGGTGTTGATTTTTTCTGGTTTTTATCTCATCCGTTTAAAGATTAGGATTAATTTCTGTCATATTTTATTTTAAAAAAAATGAAAAAAGAGCAAAAAGAAAATCCGCATGTGTAGGAACTGCTCTCTCATAATAAGTGGAAGCCCAGAATTCGTCACTCTTTAATTACCCAATCAATAATTTCTTTTTAAAACCGTCGATAAAGTTCCCATTTGTGGTAGATTTGCAACCTTATAGATACCGATACTTCTCTGCGGTCCATCCCGGCAATTTCCAAGTACAGTCGAACCTCGTTAAGAAGAGCACTGTTAATACAAGATTGTGCTTATAACAACGAAAACTGTAATCATTTGTTTCTCATTGCTTTAATTCCTGATCATACAAAGTTCCTGATCATACAAGGTTCCTGATCATACAAGGCTCCTGGTCATACAAGGTTCCTGTTATAACAAGGTGATTTGTATATTCCGAAGGACTTCTTATTAACGAAGTTCGACTGTATGTAGTACTCCCAGCACTCAGACAATTTGTCTACATCTGTTTAGGTTTCATCGGTCCAAATACCATCCAAATGATCGGATGCTTTCTGAATTCGGACGAAATGAGATTTCAATCAAAAGGTTTTTGCCGAACTTTACAACCTGCGGCTGTTTTATGTTGGGAACATCCATTCCTATTTCGAAACTTGTTACGTCTGAATATTTTGAACCATATTAGGTCTGTCAAATTTCATTCGAGTCGAAGAAGGCCATAATTGATCTGCAGAGCGACTTTGCCTGTGCATTATCCAGGTACTGGGGAATGTCCTGTGGCCTATGATTTTTTTTCAAGACCACTTACACGGGCTGCACTTATAGTGTTTAGAACAAAAGGTGTTCTTGTTCGTTTCTGAAGGCAGTGCTCTTAAAAAAATTGGAACATTGTCAAGTCCGTCGAATGATACACAAAGTAAATAACAACCCCCATATCGGCCAATTTGGACAAATTGCAGTTCATGCAGATCTTGTTCACTAGCTTTAAGGTTTATACTGTGTGCAGTGTACGAACCAATGCAAACCCAACAGGTGACCAGGTGGTGCCTGCTCACCTGAGTAGTTAAATGGAACAGGTTTGTAAACTATATGTAGGCCTAGGTGCCAAATTGAAATCCGCAACTAAACAATTTCTCCTATACATGTATTGTAGCAAGCATTCAGGCGGGAAATCTTTGGTCATTTTGACACAAACTGAATGGAAATCGGTTCTCACCATCTTTCTCACGCGACGCTCGTTTTTCCGAGATAGGTCTCAGTCAGCATTTTTTTCCAAAGACATGCTTTAATTACACTCGTCCTGGCACATTGAGGCCATGAAATCCCTGTGACTGTAACAGTAAAACAATAATGCTGGACTGAACCGGAACTTTATCTTTGTGTTGAAATTGAGGTGTTTTACGTATGCCAAATTTAAAACAAAAACGGCGGTGTGCCAAGGAGATTTATCTTTTGGGGGAGTTTGAGTGGGGTGGGGAATCCGACCCGGCCCCGCAGTGAGATGGATCGGAGAAGCCCTGCTCTTTTTAGGGTTTAACGTTGTTCATGTGACAAATGACATTGCCTCCCTGCAGGACTAGGGGCAGATCATGCGCAATTATACTAAATTAGCCCTAAGATGTGCACAAAGAATAAAATCGCCAAAGGTCGATAACTCAGCGTTGCATGTTAAAGTTTATGCAGTAAGGTGTCAACTTTCTGGAAAACTGCTTCACCCTTTAGATCAAGTGTACTCAATTGCAAGTGTTCACGGATCTGACAATTTCCCTGACGTGCAGAAAATTGTTGGTCTGGTCGCCACGATCGACGACAATAGAACATGATGCAATGCCTGGGTCGCAGGTGCATGTCAATTAGTTTGGAAATGTGCCCGACGTCAAAAAGGTATGCGAAATTGGACTCGGTAACAATTAACAAGGATTGAGGAAAGCATGGAGTTCTATAGACGACAAAATTGCGTCGCTTCGTCCCGACGCCACGACTCGACGGCCCCGAGTTACCATTGCGTGGAGCTGCCGCGCTGTGGTGTCGCCTTTTCCTACTGTAAAAATTTACAGAATTCGTGCTATCGCGTTTTGCCGTCGTACTGTCGCGTCATGACTTCGTGTCGTCCCGTCTTGCCGTCGTGTCGTTCCTTCCTATCTTGCTCTCCCTGTCGCCTCAATACTGGTGAAAAAAGAGGGCGCCCTGAAAGTTGGAGCTCACTCCGAATACCATACCAGGGTACAATACCAGGATACAATTGAAAACAGTGTAAAATCTTCACTGTTCATGGCCCCATGGTATGCATACCAACATCCCTGAGATTTCAGAAACACAAATGGATTTATTGTCTAGTCCCTAATCTTTCCATTTCTTTTCAATTTTTTGTGGGTTAGCCAATTACATTGTTAATTATTCCCACAAAACAAAATCACCCCCGAAAAATGATTTTTCCGAAGTCCGATTGCAGCCATATGCAAGTGGCAACCCTCAACTTTCTCGGGCACGTAGGACCATTTTTCAACCGTAGTTTTCAGCCATTCTGCTCTCATATGAAAGCTCAAAGACCCAGGGATTTCATCCTGGCAGCGATTTACACAATCTCACCATTTTGGGGGCCAAACAATCTCCTATTCCAAAAGATACTGGGGGCACTTTTAATGCTAATGAGCTGGCCAGAAATTCTCACTTGATTTAGTGGTTTTCACCCTTTAACAGACACTATGCATGATCACGTCTTATATAGGCCCTATGGGTGCACTGCACTAATTCAGGCCCCTTTGAACACAGTGTAAAATCAACCAAGTTTGGAGCCCCATGGCAGGCAACCGAAGTCCCTGAGGCCTCTCTAACAAAAAAAACAATGTGTTGTCAGGTCCTTCAGCTGTCATTTGATTTTCTAATTTTAGTAGGTTAATAATTAGATTTTTCATTATCCACCAAAACAAACCCCCTCCCAAAAGACGTTCCCAAGTCTGTTAGCAGCCATTTTTCAAATGACATCCGTTGACTTTTGCAGGCTCTACTGACAATTTATTAATGACATTTTTGTCTGCTTCCCCCTGGATGGGAGCCAATGAATCTAAGGAGTTGATCCTGGGCCATAATTACACAATCCCACAAGTTCTTGGGCCCCACAGACTCCTCTCATCGAAAGAAACCGTAGGGGTATTTCTCAAACGCTTCTGCCCGGCGGAGAATTTGCCTGTTAAATTGGGACTGTGAACCTCTAAACCACATGTGCACACACCCATTTATTCCAGGACTTGTGACATACGTCCTCTCTTGGCCGTGATAATCGCCAGCCATTTTAAATAAAGTAAGGCACGACGGCACGATACGACGGACGACGACACAACAGCTCGACACAACGGTGCGACGACGCGACAGCAAGACATCAGGACGCGACGGCAGGACGTGACGCTGTGACGGCACGACGCCGCTCATGAAACACAGCATAAAAGTAATAAGAAAAGAGTCGAAGCCACAATCACGACGACATCAAACAACATCACGACGCGACGGCACGATGCGACGGCACGATGCGACGGGACGACTCAATGCATTCAACACAGCATAAAGGTAATAAAAGAAGAGGCAACGTAACGACGCAATTTTGTCGTTTACAAGAACACCATAATAAGTTGTCGGGTTTGTGTGTCGGAGGATTAAGATTTATACATTTGTATACATTTCCGAACATTGACGACAGAATCCGAAAATCAATTAAAATGGGTTCTGTTCGGAAAACGTTGTTCAGTTTCGGAAATGGGAAGGAATGTTCTCATTTTGGTCACACGACCGGAGCTGAAGATCTCCCAAATTGTTGGGATTGTTTTGGTCTGGGAACCAGACTAATTCAAACGTTGTGCCACTGTCAATGCATAATTGTTTCCCGTGATGCACTGCGAAGAAAAATAGATCCTCTGTGGCAACTTCATGGTGGTACAGTAGATTTTTAATAGCTGTGTAACAGCTTTTTGTATCCAAACAGCACAGTACCGGTAGAAGTTGTCCATTGGTGGAGGTATTTATCGCTTGACGTATTAAATGAGGTGACAATTTTTAATAAGATTTTGAAATGAGCTGGTCAATGTGGTCATCCCAGCTTGGCAGCGATCACATTTTTGGTTGATATACTTCACACACTGCAGGGAATTGGACGCATTGCCATCCTATCTGTGTCCTTAGTGTTGTGGACCTTCAGCAGTCGGTGTCAGGCACAACCCAGTGTGTCTGGTGATACACCGGAACAAAAAGGTTCCTGCTGCAATGTTTGTGGCCAGGGATTAATGATCGGACCTTCAGGAACTCCGGGAATTCCGGGTCTTCCGGGGAGTTCTGGAGTCCAAGGCCCGAGGGGTGACCCTGGCTTTGGCCTTCCTGGCCCCAAGGGAGACATCGGTGACCGTGGACAGAAGGGAGACCAGGGTGAGCCGGGGATTCGGGGACCTCCAGGGAAGGAAGGACCGACCGGGTCCAGCGGAGTCAAGGGACAAAAGGGAGAACCTGGAGAAACCACTGCTGTGACGCCAACACCGCTCTCTGTCGTCGCTTTCAGCGCCTTCAGGACGACACATTTCGAGGGGAATAACCTTGAAGTCGTCATCTTCAATGACGTTGCCGTAAACATCGGCAGTGGGTACGATTCGGACACGGGCGTATTCACTTGTTCCGTTCCCGGGCTGTACTTCTTTACTGTCAATCTCTTGAGCCGTAGGACTGGTCTTCACTCTTATGCACACTTGTTGAAGAACGGTGATAACGTATTCGCAATAGCTGACAGCCACTCCGGTTATCACCACCAATCCAGCAATTCAGTGATCCTTGTCTTAAACGTAGGTGACAGGATCTGGCTTGCGCTTTATGGCAATAACAAAGCTATCTACGGAGATAGTAGCCGACATTCTTCATTTTCAGGTTTCATAATCCGTTCAATGTAAAAGTGAATTGAATTTGATACTTTAATCCCATGCATCAATTAGATTTTAGCTCCCACCCTATAAAAGTTAGCCCATGGCCCATGTACACGCATGTATTTTGTGCATTAAAACAACGCTTCTGAAGTTACTAAATCCCCACTCAAGCCGAAACCCTAGTGATTGGATGTTTAACTTTATACCAAACCGTTTTTATAACGTTCAATAAAATGAGAACCAACGTGGAGGGGAATTATTACTGCTCAGTAACAATTGAAGTCGTTAAACTTAGTCATCTCGGGATAATTTTGTTCAGTACTTCGAATGTAGTGTTTTCCATCGTCAGTGAACAATAAACGTACTTTAATTCACAGAGGCAATAAACTGAGGATATTTAGAAGTTTTCTACTCAGCAAAATAAGAAATACACATGTATTAGAATAAAAGTAGGCCTAACCATTGAAAACAACTCCGGTATATTCAACTTGATTATCTTTTATTACATTATCAGGCCAAAAGAAATAATGATGGAACTGTCTAGGGGCCTTCAAAGGCAAGGTTGACAGCTTATACGCGTAGTTTTACATGTATTGTTAAATCTGACTCACTTAAATTGAAATGAGACATGAATGACCTATGCGACCACCAAACTTAATTTTAACGAACTCCACAACGGTGGCGCCATGAGTGGAACTGCCACGGTAGTATAGCGCCCTCAGTAGTTCCAATGTGATTACACGTGCGTACACAATTCGGCGAGCTGTTGTCACGAGGCCGGGTCGTTATTAAAACACGAATGCAAATGAGAAGCGAAACAGACTTTAAGAAACCCTGTACGAGGCTGACAGTTCGCCAGAGTGGCATGTCTGCAAATTTTGATAAATTGTCTTGAATTTGCCGCCTAGCCACTTATTCACAGCGTTCGTTTTCGCTTTAAGCACGAACTGGCCTTCAGTGTACAAATTCAATCGGTGCAGCGTTTGGGTTTAAACTTTTTGGCATATTATACTTAAGTTATTTCGTATTTACAAAATATTGCACATAACACTGTGTTGGTGTCTGTCATAAGGACGAGCATCATGGGTGCAAGGATGAAATGAAATCTTCCCCGGACCGTTCCCGAACGGTCATCGGCTTTGACTTTTGCTGGTGCCCACAGTCTTTCGATTTCTTAAAACTGGGTTGCATACCTTTCGATTCCATGGATGAAATACCAAAAATATGATGATCTAACTGTAATTTTATACGAAAAACTCGTCCCACAAAAAGACTAAGATATGCTTACTTACAAACAAGTGTGACGAGCTGTACTCCTGTTCAAAGTATATAAACTTAAGCCTTTTAGATAGCGTTTGTATATATAATATGCCTGTTCATCAGTTATGGACAGTAATAAAATAAACACGTGCATGTAAACAGGCGTCAGACAAGAATTATCTTTGTTATCACACATCAACATCGTTGGTGATTGCAATATTGTATACGTGTAGCATACCGTACACAATCTAATGTTTCTTCAAAGAGAGTTGTCGTGTTAATTTAAAGTACTGCATTATGTGAGTTTACTTGGAGCATTTTCTCTGCCTTAAAAATCTTGAGCATTTTGAGGAACCCTTAAGTCTATACTCAACCATCAACGAGGGTGCTAAAAATCCCAATAATTTTTTTTTTCCTTTGGGGAGGAGATCAGAATCTAGAGTGACAGACGGCGTAAAGCTATTTTTTTCGCGTGGAGACGGTTGGCAATGGTTATTGTTTCTGCCATCGCTTTCTACACAGAGCGTCACCATGAGCAGCGGGACAAACACTTGTTGCGGTCCTCTAGGGTGGAATTTGTCACGTGAATGAAAGAAGGACGTCCCCACAGCGCATTGCGTTTGCCATGCTGAATCACATTCCTAATGCGAAGTTTTCTTCTGCGTTGAAAACAGCCACAAGAGTCCTTAAAAATAAAGTGTACAAAATGAAATTGTGTAGCCACAGTCCACTTCATGAAGATATCCTTCGTCGTCTTGTAATAAGAACCTCGAATGCGGCAGTAGTTAGGAACGTTTCCAGGCTGACTCTGTATAGTAATTACAGAAAACGCAGCAAACGTGCTTCTCAAATACTTTTTGTTCCAAACATTACAAAACAGTCTTCGCTGTCATCGTGCATTGTTACATTTTTTTTCATTTTGCATGTGTAGATTGACTTCTGATTGTAATATGTACAAAATTATATCAAATATAGGGGCAAAATGGCAAGTATGTTTCTCAGTTGTTACTGACGACGGTTTGAACCTGCACGATTTTCCCATCGTTAGGGCAACGAGATTTTGCGAGATCTCCTGGGAGAGCCGAACATCGCCTGCATGACCTTGTTGGCCACATTGCGCGTGACACTGCTCCTCCGCCGTTTGACCTGCAGCTTGTTCTTGGTTGCCTCGTACACCTCCTTCAGCAGGGCCAGAAACGCTTCACGCACCTCGGTGTAGCCGTCCGCGGCTGACACCTCGAAGAAGTAGCAGCCGTACTCCTCGGCCAGGTCGCGGCCCTCGTCCAGCATGACCTCCCGCCGATGCTCCAGGTCGGCCTTGTTGCCGATGATGACGATGGGGACGGAGCAGGGAGACTTGGTCATCTGTATGTGCTTCACTTGGGTCTCCACGTCTTTGAAAGTAGTCCGGTTGCACACGCTGTACACAATGACGAAAGCGTTGGCCCAGCGTAAGTGAGAATCGCGCTCAGACAGCTGCTCACCCTGCATTGTAAACATTGACAAATAATTTGATTTATACGCTTGAATTTGTTGCTAGTTTGAAAGATCTGCGAGACCGACATCACAACTCATTTATAATGGCCCTGTGATCCAAGAGTGATTCTTTTAACAGCACATGAACTCTTGTCTCTTCAAGACTACCCGAAAAATGTGCGCACTGAGTCCACACAAGCAATCCCTTATCAGGATCCGAAATTTCTACCCACTAGCAGTTTGCCATCAGTAGGTACTTGTATCTCTGGGTTGGCCACCTTGATGTGAAAATGAGGTACCGGTAACACTTTTCATTTGGGGAACAAATAACAATGAGGCCAACTTTAGGCCAACTTTTGTTTAGAGTTTAAAATTTGTGATAAATTATATCTTACAATTTTTAGCTACACCCCCCCAAAATAATGAAAGCTGGATTTGGAACCTAAACTAGTCGGACACCAACCCATCTAACAGACTACTGTGAATATGAAATATTCGGGAAATAAGTTTTTTAAAATGGCTTCCCGTGAATAACGCCTGTTAATTGAAAATCGACATGAACGTTTTTTGACTTCTATTTTCAATGATACGTAAAAGACTATCTGTCTTTGATAGTTTTTACAACTTCAAACACGACATTTTTATCACAAACCTTGGGACAGGTGTCCAGTACCTCCATGTACACAGGAACCTCATTATGCACAACCGTCTGTCGGTACAGAAGATCTGCAACCCAAAACGAAAGAAAAAAAAGCACAAATATATGACAATGTCGAACATGGCTGCAATGTCCAGTATTGCTTCGGTGAAGTTATGGAGCCCATGCACATGTAACACTCAACATCCCCACCGTTACATACGGCAATCGTCTCCCGGGCATGGCACGCACCGACGCCTCGTGCCGTTAACTTGCGCGATCTATTGCGTTCACGCGACGATGTGCCTCGATAGGACCATTGTGAACAATTATGATGTCGTCTACCTGCACGAAGTCCATTCGTCTGCCGGATGTAAGACTTCGTGCGTTCTCAAATCGTTCTGCAACGAGTTTGAATCGTATATTGAGCAAAGGAGACGACGGTTTTGAATTGTAAATATTGAGTACAGGAGACTAAGAAATCATACGTCATGCGCAGGCGGAATTAGAAATAATCAAGTAGGGGTTAAACTGGCATTATTGAAAAGATTGGTTCTAAGCAAGAGACCAGACAATCTTTAATATGGGGGGGGGGCGATGCTATGACTCAATGAATGAAAAACACAGGGGCGGATCCAGGAATTTTAGTGTATTTACTGTAAAGTACATGATACGTGAGTAGGCCCATTGGAGGATTAATTTCATACAGGCACTATTATACGGAAAATTTAAATTATCTCGGAAGTGAACGTTAAAAGCCATACAGTATAATATATGACTGGACCAGAGAGACATTCTCCAGCCAAAGGTGTTTGTCAAATTATTATTTCTCAATCCAAAACACTAGACAGCGTAAAACACGCTTCCCCGCTTTTTCCCATAGAGGGCGCTAGTCGTAACTCCTTGTCCAGCACGCGATGAACGCCGTCGGTTGCCCGAGCCCGTAGTAAACTGCCATAGGCGACTATGATATGTCTCACCATTCCGAGAAATCAGGCGAATAATAAGCTCATGCATGAGCTTATTTTACACCCTCTTACAGTTTCGGTTCACGTTTTGGTGCGGAAATCTTGGATGACTTTTGGGAGAAAACTTCCTGAGAAGATGACCATTCCTAAATGTGGTCCACTGCAGAAGTTCAATGCCATTTAAAAAAAAAAAAGGTTTCCTCCGCTACACTACAGACTAGGAGACACTATAATGGCCACAGTCCATCCTGATTTCACAAGCTCCCATTTAAGAAAAGTTGATATAGACGGGCTAACAAACCTTCAAACATCAGATGGCAAAGAAATCGTGATTTGGAACTTGTCGACACACTGTGTCAGGCATTTTGGAGGTCTATCATGGATCTCAAGCCAACCTTTTTCTCAGTGACTTTCCGTCGTCCCCGAGCGCATTATGTTTTCCCGGTAGGTACGGGATTAGAGCCGACATCGAATCTCTCTGGGCATTTCCCTTTCCACCAGGGTTATCCCCGTGAAGTCAAGGGACAAATCCCCGCCTCGAGCGACATAGCGTCCTCCCCATGCGCTCTGATCCACCCGTAATCGCAGCGACTTAGGCGCGCCATATCCCACCGGTAATCCACCCAAGCCCCACCGGGGTCGTCTTACTGCATCGTCTTGCAGCTTTCCGGATACGACTAACTGCAACTTTCCCACTTTATTGGTCTTTGTCCAAAAAATGACAAAGATGTCGCGAACATATACTAATTCAGGAACGAGATCGCACAGTTGATTAGTATTAAAATTTTTATTTCTCCTAACACATTTGATGCCAGTTTCATCCAAAAATTATATTTATTTTATTGGAAAATTCAATTCAATCCAAAATAAAACAATGTTGTTGACGATGAGCACATCCTCGAGTTCCAATGACCCAAGTCCGAACCGAGTCGCGTCCACGAAGGCTCCTCAAGACCGGTCTCGGAATGCTTGATAACAAGAGAAACCGCTGATAAAACAATGTAGCGCCCCCATATGGCAGTCACTCTCTAGAAAGGACGTTTAATTCCATAAATCAATCACGAACACGACGAGAAATTTTGAATCTAGAATCCCTTTATCGCTTCATGGAAGGTCACCGGCTTAAGAATGATATTATGGAATCCAACATGGCAGAGTGTAGACACGATCCCTGCCATTATATTAGTTCTCCTCTTGACCGTAACAGGAAAAATTCAGAGTGGCAGGTGTGGGAATACTGGGCTGAGGTACGGTCGGCAGCAGGTGGATGTCGAAACAGACAACCTCCACTATGTTTGTAGTGTTGTGTGATAAATTCGTAATCACGGCTCGATTGGAATTCGAAACTATAGCCTTCTCACGCATGCGTAGTTATGGCAAATCAAATTCAATCATGCTGACATCTCACCATGGTCCTTTTTTTTTTTAATCAAGGAACGGATGATCAGGCGGTTGCCTCGTAATTTTATGTCCACTAAACGTTTCAAGTTTCAGGTGTGGAAATGAATTCCCGATATTGATATTTCAATAAGGGCCTTGGCGAGATGATGAAGGTTCCGATTTCGGATACGCAATCTGATGGGGGGGGCGCATCACACTGAATGGGCGTCATCAACACCAACAGGAATTCTGGACATCGCTGAGTCCTTGATGGGGCCATAACTGCCACCCAAGACTAAATTCAGGCGACTGGAAATCACGTTTAGAAATCCATGTAGGTCACCGGTACACCATGGAGGTAGGGTAACTCCATGGGTAGGCCTACAGTTGTTATCAGTTCAGTAATTACATGTATACGGTCCTTCCTATTACCCAACCCGAAGTGCAGCTAGCAGCTAACCGTAGGGATGAAACGATACATCGATAAATCGCTGCATCGCGATAATTTGTTCACGATAAGATATATCGATACGAATTTTTGACTTCGGTACTTTCGAGAAAATAAATAAATAACACAGCAGCGCGTGCACCGAAACCACCACGCACGTACACGTAAAGTGCGTAGTGTAAAATTGAAAATGCCACGAGTTTAAGTTTCACCATGGTACTTCAGTTCAAGTGACGCATCACCGATGGACCATGTCCGATTGCAGTGTTCATATCAAGTTACAGCGCGTCCAGACCACAAACTCAGCGGCAAGCACTTATGTCATGTAGGCCTACATGTATGCACATGTACGTGTACCATGTTTTAGGACAACACACACAGCGAAGCTGAGGTCAGCGCATGGATTTTTCGTCAAGCACAGCTTGAGGGCGCCCTATACGGTGCCAGCGGTAATGGACTGCTACCTTCCTTAACACGAAGGGTTTTTATGCTACAGTCATTTTGGGACCTGCATCTTTTTGCAACGTTACTAGCTGGCTGAAAATATGCGTGCGTATTACTTTTTTTGGCGGGACAAAAAGTTTTATCACAACCGCTACTGCTATGCATGGCGTGAGCAAACTAGATACGAGCGGATCTAGTAACAGTAGCAGTGCTGCCATTACCAGTGATACTACGGAAGCTTCTGGTATGAAGATTTCCCCACCTCCAGCAATCTTCTGTATGGAAACACAGTACACTGGTAAATAAATCCTAATAACATTTACGATGCTAATAAAGACAAGTCAATTCTGAAATTCAACCTTAAGGAATTCCAGTGGCTAAATCCAAATTAAATTTATAAAACAGCTGGGCCTATCAATAGTGTGAATTTTATAAATTTGATGAAATTACAGATTTTAAAAGGTTGATATCTTTCCAAGTTCATGAAGTTTTCTGAAATTTAAGTACTTTGAAACCAGCATTATTTTTCCTTATTACAGTTGCTTGGGCCCTGGCCCTGAAGGAGTTCATTTGTTATGATTTGATTTGTTCTTATAATTAAGATATATTGTGATAAATTTCCTATCGTTTGGCATGTATCATTATACGTATCGTATCGTGACACAGGTGTATCTTTTCAGCCCCAGCTAACCGTGGTTCGGGGACCGAGGGGGCTTACAGGGGTATCTGTGTAGCCATAGATGTATCATCGTGGATGATCCGATTAGACGCCATAACTGCAGAGGCACCGCACTCAGACGCACATTCTTCAGCTTGACGCGCGCGTGCATTTGGGAAAATCGCGACACCCTATTGGTCGATGAGGCGTGTAACGCGCGCGTACCACCTGTCCACGAGCGTTGTGCCACCGCAGTAATGGCTTCTAATTCTGGTGGTCGAATTACACTATAGCTCCGTATAAACAGGACAATCGTTTTCAGGATCCATCTTGTACGTCTCGAAGCCTGCCGAAACCTTTGGAAAATCTTTAAATTGTATTTAAATTTTGAAGACCTTGGAAAGAACGGCAATTTAGCATTGCCAAAAGATAGAAATTTGGTACAGGTAGTTGAACAAGTTTGATCTTGTCAAGATTTTGACTGTTGACGCATTGGATGCACCAAAACAAATGACAAAAGTCAAAAGTCATGTTCAGATTTCAAACTGTCAGACACTCCGTGAACCGTTATAAAGGCGATTATAACTCATAGGCTGGGAACAAAGATGAAAATGACATACATTACACGCTGACTGACTGCATGAAACGCTTGCAAGCCCCAATGGACAAGACGAATACTGATTTTGCCTACGTTCAAACTGAAGCACAGTAGTGTGCACACCTGCACGTACGGTGCACATGTCGGGACCACTTCACAATCGAGAGTCACTTGTCAACCATAATACGCGTCGTGTTGCAAGGAAAAGCAAATCTTTCACGACAACTTGAGCCGGGATTTGACGACCCCGGGCTTAACCTGCGTATTCCCCAAGGAAGACCCGGTATTTCCTAGTGAGATTATTTCTGTGATATTTGGACTTCGCGATAAAGAGGACCGACTGACCGTTATGCGCATGACCCAGTGCTCGGAACAATATCGACAACCGAGTGCTTTGGCGACTGGCAGTTGAGCCGAAGTAAGAGACAGGATTTCTCGGGGTACCATTGTTTTGTGACATCGGCTCCCCGGAACATACAGACGGTTCCTTGCACTTTGGGAGCCTGGGAGGTTGGCCCCTATAGCGGAAACATTTTAATGGCGGTACATTATAATTAAACATGCAGTCACACGCTTCATTACGTATTGAAGCAAACAATGACTTTTGCTCTGGGATGTGGAGGAAATATGAGAGAAGAACCAACAGGTGGCACAACAACACCGAATCCCCCCCCCACGTTACAGCTCCATTTGAAAGTTCAAGGTTCATACACGACCGTTTCACGTTTTTGTCCATGAGCAATATCGTTTGTAGGCCTATGTCTTGCCACAAGAAGAGAGTCAAGTCAGGCAGAAACCCACTACTATGAGCTCAGCTTGGAGAAAAATCCCCTCGGTATCATGGCTACTAAGCAACAACAAAGTCTGGCTATTCAGAACAGAACAACAGGCCTGGGGTATAACTCTTAATCCCTTTGTCCGTGGATTAAGGCGCACCGGCTGTTGATACCGATTCCTGAAAAAACACAGCTTCCCTCTTTTTGATTTTTTTTTGGGGGGGGGGATCAGAACTGCCTTTAACGTGCCAACGCAGGGCCTGCAGCGCCGTTTTCGAAAGGGTGGACAATAAACGCAGACTAAATCAACAACTTCCACGACTTGAACAAATATCCGTGAGGTGAGTTTCAATGGGAACCATAAAAACGCCCCGTGTTTTGACAATAAAAAGGTTCGAGTGGATTCTACCATCAGAAAATCTCACCCACAGATTTATAGAAAAGGTTGAAAAATAGAAAAGTCCAAAACATCATAGCTTGTAATACGTACCAATGTTAGATTCATACTCTCCGATGTACCTCTTCGTGAGAAATCGAACGGTGACAGCTGTCAGGGTAAACAAAAAAAAGAACAAAATATTTATTTGAATTGTGAACAATCTCTGAAATTTTAAATCTGACACAAAATCTTTTGTCGTCAGGTATGCTAGGGAAATTTCGAATCGAATCCATTCGTTTCATAATCCATCAGGCAACTGAAAAGCAGGAGAAACAGGAACTGAACATAGTTCCCACATTACATTTGTGTTACATTATAACAATGCTGCCAAAAAAAAAAACTCGCATTGCACTATGCAGCTTCTTATTTATACTTTAAATTTTAACAATTTTTCACCGTGTTTATAATCTTAACACGTTCACGTGCAGTCTCATGGGTAAGTATATTTTTTCGAACGTCTAGATGAACACAATATTCATTGAGTCACTCTATCTATAAAGCAGGTTTACATCCACTGCTTTTCTTTTCAAAACCAGTTATCGCCGCAAGGCTTGAGAAGGCATTGACTCTGTCACTACCTATCACGCCGAATCACTATCTACACAAAGAAATCATTTTTATGACCCTTTCACGATAGTCAACCACTTACAGTTGATCTGGAGCCTCATTTACAACATCGTGGATGCCATACCTGGTTAAGATTGGGGTCACGTTTCATGAAGTTAAACCGGATTTGGATCCCTCAGAAAATCCCGGAAAGGTTCATCTTCAAAATCATTCACTTATTTTCCCCCTTAATCACAGCCCGGAGAGCCGGGAAAACCCCGAGTATAGAGATGGCGCCATTTTGTCTGAGTCTTTCCTATTACGGCCATCTAAGCGTGTGTAGGGATGCCCGATGGGCGGCTTAGCTTAATCCGACATCTTTTATCCATTTCGCCCTCAACCGTGAAGCTTGGCGGATGGCCAAGTTCTCAATTGACCTGCTTTGAAGTTCATTATCGTAAAGCGATGTTGGATTACCCTTCAGTTGTTCTTGGGCAACATTGTTTGAGAGGAATTGAACTGGATTTACGGAAATGAAGTACCCTTTCTCACCAGTGTTAATGTAAGTTAATGCAGATTTGATCACTGCGATTTAAATTCTTAATCAGGCAATAACCCTTCCACGCAAGCCAATGCAAAAAGGAGACGGATTGCATAAATTTATCCACGGATCACTGCTCCCAAAGGGGGAAAAAACACAGAAAACGAATAAACAAAAAATGAAAGTACTTCGTCATGTGATGAAATCGGCAGAAACGTGACAACGAGAAAATGAAGAACAAGTCAGAATTCGTGAGATGTGGCGTGACTGGGCGTTCGAAATTAACGTGGTTTAAATTGAATGAGTAAATAAAAACGCGGAAGGGAAAACCCTAATGTCCGTATAACACAAGCAAAGTGCCAGCTCCTTCTGGGAGTTCTATTTATACTGCAGGAAAAATGGGCCATATAAATTTATCCAAAGCATGCACTTCTCAACGAGAGGGGAATTTGATGGAACGGACTTTACACTTTGGTTGAGACACGACACGGTACACGCATACAGCTGTTGCCAGCTTGGAATGATCTCAAACCATACGCGATCACTGAAAAAATATGGCGCTGATAAGTAGAAGAAAGTTCACATTATACACGCCAATTCACAGCGCTGTGTTGTCACTGAATGCCAGTGTTACTTTCCACGACTGGCATTGGTGTGATGGTGTTTCTTAGGGACCGGGTCATCTTTAGAAAATCCGAGGTATGAAGTTTCAGTAGGCGCTAGATAACTGCCCTCGATTATTCTCGACTTTCCCGTGGACCAAAAAAAAAGTTGCAATGTATGCGTGGATGTCTCAGCTTCATATCAGGTAAAAAAAAAAACCAAAAAAAACGACATCATACTCATGTCAAAACAGGATTTTACTAATGAAACTCTCGGTCCTTTCTCAACGAAAGAGAGAGAAACAGAAGATCTCCGGAAATAGGAATTTATATTGCAAGCAGGCTGTATGTACGCAGCACGATCGGGAATCACATCCAATCGTGACTCAGATGTAAGCCAATCCAAAACCTCTCGTGTTCTCTATCACCTGAAGGAGCACCGAGAAACAGGGATCTTGGCCGGCTTCCTCCTTCAACCCTCGGCAAATAAATCGATCGAAACCTCTTTTTCTCTCGCCAGGTGCTTTCTTCGCATTAAATGTTTGGACGTGGCGCGCTCTGCGTGTGCGACAGCGATCGCGGGGTTTCCGTTGAAATTTCCCGCTTCGAGTGTCGCCGCCTGCTTTGTGGTGAACAACATTTCCGTAACGTGCTCGCGTTACGTTCTTGAGATCAAACACTGAGAGAGGTCAAATCCTCAAAAGGGAAAAGGCCAACAACCAACCGCTAGTCAAGCATATAGCATAGCGCATCATTTAATCGTCTTATTTCCTTAAAGATCTGCAAGCCTCTGACATTTCCTTTCTTGGCAAATTTTAATTTTCCAATAGAGTATTCTTTTTTTCCTAATTTCATTTTTCCGGTCATTTCAGCAACTCTCAAATGAAAGGAACTCTTCAAAGGGGTTTTCAAGCGGCCTCCACCGAGATTTTTTAGGTGACCCAACATCCGCCGCCTCCCAATTCCGTAAAGAGGTGCTGCCTTCCTTTTCGTGCTTGAATACTGTCTTTGTTGCTCGTCAACACCTGATAAATGCTTCTGAGAAATTCTCAAAGGGACTTTTCATAAAAGAGGCGACCTTTAAAAAGCAGAACAAACCGCGGTAAAGCGGACTGTTGCGATGCAACATCCAAGGAAGTGAAGAACTGTTTTTAGCTTTTTGTCGAAGTCACTGTCCCTTGCTGTTTCATCGAGCAACTGCATGGCTATTTCCATCAAATCGAGTGTTCTGTGTAGTGATAGAAGATATTAGCCTGTGGGCCTCAACAAAAGAAATAAAACAGTTGATTTTCCTTTTTAACTTGACGTCACATTATGTAGTGGGCCCACTCTGGCATGCAACTTGAGCCTGAATTAATATTGACGCCTTATAATGTCCTTATTGTCCCTCAAAAGAAGGCCTTTCATCTTTCCTGTCCATGGGCGAGGGCTTTTAGCGCATAAGCGAGATCACATGGAAAGCGTCTTGAGTTACAGAGCAATATCACAGACGATGACTGCTTTTTCCTCGTTCCCTGAGTTTTTTAATTCGTAAGTGGTATTACATGCTCCCTTTTTACACGCTTTCAAGGAAAAGCCCTAGGCCTTTCCTGTTGTCAGGTGGCGCTTCACATCGATGAACAAGGCACAGAAAAGTAGTTACAGCCTCAGACAAAAAGCCACGTAAAATCATTTGTTGCCTACAACTTAACAAATCGACGGTAGCCGAAACTTTCCAGTCCAGGATACTGTTTCCATCACTTTAACTTTCAGTGGGGCCAGGACGTGACCCCTTTCTTGCAGACATTACGAATATTGCCCAGGGTAACTGAAGGACGTAGCCTTCTCACAGCCCCCTCAAAAATTTCATTTTGTCCATTCTGGAATTGCAAATCCGTCCAGCAATAATGAAAGTGTGACCTACTGGTGCACGGACGAAAAATAAATAAATGCCAACCAATGCAAAGTACCTCCCTTCGTGTCTGACTTCAAAAAGTCTGCCACCCATCCCCCCTCCCCCGAAATTCAATAAAATGATCGGAGGGGTAAATTGACGCGGCTGAACACGAAGAAAACCTACCGTCATCGTGTACGAGATCGACCGGACGGCACGCGCGGAGCATCATAAAAAAAAAACTGGCGCCGCATTCACCCATATGGTTTGTGATAACGCATCTGAGAGGGGTGGCCAAAAGGCGCGCACATCACTGCCAGGCTCGTTTCCAGACGGTACGGGAAGACATTAGACAGCGACGTATGGCAGAAATTACACTTCTTTGGCTCGACTTCATGCATCGCATCCCTATGAAATTCAGATGATAGTCCGTTGGTGCAGGCATAGAATACCTGGTTCCAACGGAGGCATCTGGAGGTGGACATGCTGGCAAACGATACTACAGTACTTGCAATAACTGCATGGTGTATACCGTCTGTAGCATGATGTATCGGTGAGAATCAGCACTTCTAAGATGCAAGGCCGCGACGAGCGTATCGTGAAAGGCGGCTTGAACAAAATTAATTAATTTTTTTCTATGCAGTAGGAAAAACAGATGGTACATCTTGATGAAAAGGCTCAGAAGATGAGTTCTGCTAAAGGACACTGGCATGGGTAGGCCCGTATAATAAACCTGACTTGTCGCATTCTTTTCTCTCAGGCATTGGTGCGACATATCAGCAATGGAGATATTTGGCATTTCGTGCACAAGCTCAGAAGGATTCTTTATTTTACAGTTGGCCACTGGTTAATGAAGACGCGGGTGTTTTTTCCGGGGGATTGGTGCAGAGACTGAGAAAAACCAAATACACCGAAATCTTGTAAAAGGTGTCAACGACGTGTTAAAGGGCAAATATAGACTGTTTCCCTTACCGTACGTAGTCTCCAGACGTCTTACAGAAGTCCTCCAAACGTGGCGACCGGTAGCGGGAAATGAATCCGGCAGAGTGCTGCCGGGTATATGTAAATGAGGAAACGATGCCCGCTCAATGCAAAAAGCGAGGAGGAGCTAACAGAATATTTTGCTTTTTCTTCTTTGTTACCGAAAATAATTTCACCATCAATGGTTTACCTAAAGTTTAACACAATAACCACTGATTTGAAATAAATTGCAGTGAAATGATTTAGCAATGATAATCATTGAAAAATAAATTACCACACTGTGATCGACGGAGGCTTAGCAAGGATAGGTACTTGTGTTTTATTTGCATCCTCGCTGAAACGTTTTTCATGTTAAAGCATTGCTATTGGCCTGACAAAAAAAAATAATATTCAACATCCAAATTGCAAGGCTAATCACACAAGTTCAACTGCAGCTAGCTACTGGTCCCCATATAATTGTGGCAGGGACCGGTCCAGTGCAAATGGTGGGAAAATGAACGAAATTAGCCTGAAACGTAAATGATTTCAACCCTGGTGGAGACTCAAAGTCGGGCAATATCTACGA